TAAATCTTGGTTATCTGAAGGAGCAGCAGGAGGTTGTCTATTACTCGCTGCATTAGCATAGCTTACATTTGGTCTTACTGTATTTGGGTATAAAGTTTCTGTTATGTGCTTGTGACATATTTTGGTGATGCTTATAATATGTAGTTTGTGCTATATTTTTATTTCTATATAAATTACGATAATATTCGCATCCTTTATAGTTAGCTGGGTGATCTTCTTCACATAAAGCACATCTAGCTGGTGTGTTCTTGTTCTTTTTACAGCTGTTTGTACTGTGCTGCCCTCCACATTTCACACAGACATATGGTGTATTGCAATATGCTTTTGAATGGCCTTATAATTGACATCTCATCATTGGATGATATATTTGTTTTTATGGGTGGTTCAATTTGTATATTGTAGTGTTGTAATTTTTGAATTTTATAAATATCTTGGTTATTATCTGATGGTTCAAGGTCAACAAAGAAGGTGTTTAATTACGACTCTATATACCTTTTCTTCCTTTGGTTGATATGTGTGATGAATAATTTTGTTCTCTCTCATATATCTTGATAATTTTGTGTATATTTCTGGATCGCTACTGTATTATTTGCCATAGTCCTGGTTTCGTATTGTTCAGCTTCTGCTATTTCTGTAAATTTTTCCCTCATTTCTGGGAAGTCGCTTATACCGTAAACAAATATTGGTGGTGGTTTAGGTTTTCATTTTGATTAATTTCATTTTCTTGAGTATCAATAGGGCATTATATTTGTTCGATAGTGTAATGGTATCATCTTCTTTGTCTGTTTTTACATTTGATCTGATTTTTCTGCGTTTTGTAGTTTTAACTACTTGCCATGAGTTTTTTGTTGACACATTACACTTTCTGGTTCGCCATCGCTTGTTGATGATATTCTGTAGTATTGCTGACTATTTCTATTATTTATATTACTGTTGTGTAGCGCGTTTTGTTGATTTATATATTGTTCTTGATTGGGCGGAAATACCATATTCGTCGAAGAATTGCTGGTTGGTTGATTTATTGGCATATTGTACATACCTGGTATTTGTGATGAGATTTGTGGATAACCCTGTATATTGTTGATTTGTGATTGACCCCGTATGTTGTTTGGAATCTGCATTTATGGGTAACAATTCATTTGCTTTGATGGATACTGGATTGGTAATGGCTGGCTGTTTACATTTTGAATTTGTTGACTAACTAACTTGTCAAATCCTCGTCCATTCCCCATTGGAAACATTATAAATAAATTACTGAATTGTTTCTAAATTTAATTTGATGAGTTTATTGTTTTTAAAGTATATTACCAATTTATTGCTTTTTAATCACTTAACATTTGTTCATCTGTTCAATTCGAGAAAACCAGTCGTATGTTGATAACGAAGAACCATTTAACATTCTCTCGGTTTGGAGTATCGATGTGAACTTAGTAAATAAGTAAATTAATCAATTATAGACAAGGCGAAAAGCTCGCGTTCGTTCGGAAAAATATTCCTATGAGATTTTTTGCGTAATCACTTATTATACGACACCCCATAATAAGGTTAAAGAGGTCGTCCAGGCTAAAAGTTGTTGAAATTTTTTAAACACTTTTTTTTTAATTGTAATAATCAAAATTATTGGACCGTATATTTATTAATCTTTTTTGAGTTATATATAATTTAAAACTGACTTAAGTTAAAAAATAATGTAGGGGAAGTATGCCTATGATGGCATACCCAACTTCACCTCTCGTTTTTTTTTTTATTAAAATACATGATCACATTTGTTACAATTTTTTTCTAGTTCAGTTGAATGTACCAATTAAGCTGGACATATAAAAGTCAAAGGGAATGTGGATTTTTATATTAAAAAATTGAAATATCAGAAATGTCAAGCGTGCCATCATAGGCACATTGCTTGTATATGATTTTGTACAGAAAAAGTGGCCGAAAAATTAGTCAACTAGATTTTAGGTACGACGAAGTATTTACCAGGTACAAGGAAGCTATTTAGTAGTACTCTTGTGTTTCTTTTCTTTATTTCAGACGTATTTAACAAGATACATGGTACAACCGAAAGCTACTGGACGAACACCGAAGGCAGCAGAGAGTGATTTTTCGAGTTAGCAATGATATTAGATATGGTGGAATGCATCATTACATTATTACAGTCCCAGAAGGTAAAAGGCGAAGATGTGGGAGTGATAATTGCAATAGTAGAGGACAAACAATGTGCAGCAAATACAATATTGGACTTTGTACAGATTATTTTCGAATGTTTCATAATCAATAGTTAATTTTTATAAAAATATTTTTTTTGTGTATAACATAGGTTGTGTCCAACAAGCCCATATGGGAACAGCTATTTTTAACACATTCGCGACCAACCGTCACACATGTGTGACGGTGAAGTTTTCGTAAGGACTGCTGACACATATGTGTGACACCGAACTTACGTGATGAAATGTAAAATAATTTTACCACGGGTTATAACAGTGGGTCTAAATTTGGCCACAGTCCACCTAAACAATCCTTCTTTCACACGCTATGGCTGGGTTGTGATTTGATGTTTAAAAAAAAAGAAATAACCTGTAAATTTATGGAACGTAAATTTATAGAATGTAAACGTCAAATACGAAAAGTATCGTAATTGTGTATAATTTAGAAATGTAATATAAAAATGTAACTTATTTATACACCGTGTAATAACTTATTACTTAATTATTTATTTTAGACGTATTAACAATGTCAAAACGACATCTAAGTACACGAGACCTTCAATTAGAGGCCGAGATGGCTAGTAGGGAAGTTAGTGAGTACAGAAATGCCGAAAATATTGAATATGAATTCGAGGAGGACCATAATGATGAAATGTTTTATTCTAGTGGAAGTGAATATTCTCCTTCTCATTCTGGAAGAGAGACTGAGGATACTAGCAATGATGGGGGAGAGTCGAGCAATGACGGCGGTGAGTTTAGTTGAGTTGACGGCGGAATGAGGGCGAAGCGAATGATGCAAATGAAAATGTGGTACAAGAAAATGATGAGGCGGACTGGCTTGATGTAGAGGAAAATATTCAGATACATCAGTTTACTGAACAAGAAAATATAAAAGTAGAAATTCCTGTTGATGCAACACCTATACAATATTTTTCATTACTATTTAATGAAGAGCTTTTGATAAAAATCATAGAGTGGACAAATCACAGAGCTGGCTTCACGCAAAGAAAACCCTACTTTAAAAAATATTCCTTTTTAAGACGCTGGATGGATATAAATATTGATGACTTAAAAAAAATTTTGGGTCTCTGCATATTAATGAGAAACATTAAACTCCCCTCCTTACGTTTATACTGGAGCACAGATCCACTATATCACTTTTCAATATTTGGAAAAACTATGCCCAGATCAAAGTTTGAAGCTATTCTTCAAAATATTTGTTTTTACAAGCCGGAAGACGTAGAAGTTCAAGATCGACTTTACAAAATTAAAAACATTACGAGTCATATTATAAATAATATCTCTAAAGTTTACTATCCAGGAGAGAACTTAAGTCTTGACGAAGCCCTCTTACTGTGGAGAGGGCGGTTAATATTCCGACAGTATATGCAAAAGAAAACTAGTAAATATGAAATAAAAATTTATGAGATTTTTACTAAGTTTCCTAATCGACAGCGGCAAGGCGACAGTAGTAAACGAAAATGGGCATGCGTTTGAAGTAGTTCACAGAATTGTTACTGAATATTTAGAGAAGGGGCACACTATCTACATGGACAATTATTACAACAGTTATGAGCTTGCCAAGTTTTTACATGAAAAGAAGACCTACGTTTGTGGAACATTAAGAAAAAATAGAAAAAGTAACCCAGAGTATTATTAAAAAAAAAATTAAAGAAAGGAGAAGTCGTATGGCAAAGAAGAGGTCCAATCATAGTATTAAAATGGAAAGATAAGAGAAATGTAATAATGATTTCATCCAAGCATGGTTCCGAAATGGTTGACGTTGAAAATCGTAGAGGCCAGAAAAAGTTAAAGCCAGTAATGATTCGTGACTACAACTCCTTTATGTCGAGAATTGAAACAGATGACTTCATATTATGGCACACCACGAAAAACTCTGAGATGGTACATGAAAGTTTTCTTTCACTTACTAGATATTTGCATGTGGAATGGCAACTGGTTGTTGAATAAAAATAGGAACACGTCAAAGAAAACAAGAATGTCGTACCTTCAGTTTAGAGAGGAAGTGATCAAACATTTACTGGAACAAACAGAACGGCCAAGCAGAAAAAAAGTTGTTGCGGCACACAACTTGAAAAAAGAAAATAAGCGGAAAAGATGTCGACAGTGCAATGCAACCAAGAAAAGGGCTGTCACCTGGTACACATGCCAGTAATGTAAGGGGAGTGATGGACAGCCCATTGGGTTATGTGTTACACCCTGTTTTGCTGAGTGGCACAGAAAAGACAATTAAACTTATACAATATGTTTTATTTTTTATTGGAAGTAACTTTTAGTTTTGTTATTACTGAATAAATAAATGATTTTTTATAAGTAGTAGCTAAAAATGTTTATGTCACATATTTGTGACACTTGAGTTATGTTCAAATTTTTATTACTATAGACCAGTGTCACATGTGTGACATTATCCAAAACATTTTTTTTTATAATCCTTGTTCAATTATAATACTCCTCCCCAAAAATGGTGGATTTGGCATGTTTCTTTCATGTTTAACCAAAATCAGTTTGACTGGACAGACCTAAAAATAGGTTGGTCGCGAATGTGTTAAGCATCTTGTTTTTCCTAATAAAAAATATGGTCAAAAGTATGTTGTAGGGTCTTATTTTAGTTATTATTATTGTTAATTTCTAAAATTTTAAGAATTTTTTTTCTCGGTGGTAATGGGTTAAAGACAGATTATCTTCTTGGGTTAATTTTTACGTTACCCCTTTTATGCAATTGCTGTTATATATCAATGAAAATATTTTAAAAATACTAAATAAAAAAACAAAAATTTATAACAGTCCACATTTATTTGATGAAAAACAATAACAAATTATTATCTTTCAAGGTCCACGTCTTAAAATGTTGCCTAAGTATCTCCCACGAACGTATGTACTCCTTATTTAGAGACTTAACATCCATATAAGTTAAACTTCTATTATCACAGTTTTTTCTTAATTGAATCTTTTTTAAATCGCAAATTTCCATAAACTTATTAAAAAGCTCAACTTTGCAAATCTTCAGACGACCAGCTTCGGTGTTAAGTTTCTTCTTGGTAACACCTTGGCGTTTACCTTCGACAGCTACTTCAAGCCTATAAAAGACATATAATAATTTCAAATATATTATTAAATCTGTAAGCAATTACTATAAACTGTCCACTTTTTCAAGAAATGTTAAGATCAACATGAAACAAAACAAAAAAAGAAGATGGAGAGGAAGCAATTGAGGCGTCTTTGTAAAAACCCCATATGTCAGTTTTTTTCCGAAACGCCATCTATGGATTGAAGGACTAATTACCTACGTTCCTTGCGTAATAAAATTCCATTAAAACCACAGTAGTCCAAGATATAAGCGACAAAATTATAGGCGATCCCGCAAAAACTCCATATGTTAAGCGCAATTTCCTGCAAAAACCACAGTTGTTAATGACTATTGGTGTTTTTGCAGGAAACTTTATCGCTTGGTTGTCAGTTGGTTTTTATAGGTTAACGTTTCTTCGAATAGTTGTGTTGTGTGATTTTATAAGTAAACACCATAAACCAATTTAGTAAAATGAGTTGTATAATAAATACAAGTAACAATGAACTCATACGACAAAGTTCAAATAAAAATGTTCCATTAAGAAAGAAAAGGAAAGTGCTGAGACGTACAGAGATAAAACAGGCAAGAGTGAAGGGACAAAAACATGTTAATTATAAGGGCATAGAAAAAGCAGAAGTACAAATGGGTCCCAAGTGCAGGTATGTTACACATATTAATTGTAAAATGATGAGTGAAACATTTATATTCCTTCTATGTGTTCACGGTTTCAATGTTATTCTCAATCACTTTTATGCTTTGGAAACTAAAAACGAGCAAGATAGTTATTTGGCAGGTAAAATTAATCGCTTTATTTAAACAATTAAAATATTAACAAGTATATTACATTGTAGGGCTAATATCTTATCACATTCCAAAGCAAAGAAGCCGAAAAAAACGCTGAAATTAGGAATGTTTTACTAACAGAAGTAGAAAATGATGCGCCAAGCCAAGGTAATGTTCCGCAAACGCTCAAAGACCAACATTCTGCTGTCTATAATTATAAAATAAGGTTGGAAAAAAGAGAAGAACCAGTGTATGTAAAGGCTTTTTGCGGTCTTCATGGAATAACACATGGAAGGGTTCAAAGGATATAAAAACATGTCTTTAATGGTGGATCAGCACCAAAGGATAAACGAGGCAAGCATTCAAAGCGAAAAGAGCATTCGACCAAATAAATTCAAGAAAAAATCCGAATACCTACTACCTTCCTGAGACGCTATCTGTGAAAAAGATGTATCAAATATTCATAGCAGAACATCCCGGCGTAAAGTCTTCTTATAAAATATACTTAGAGTTGGTGATCAGTTAACAGACGATATAAAGATAAAAAGAGGTGTACGACAGGGATGTATATTGTCCCCATTATTGTTCAGAGTAGATTATGAACCTAGCGCTAACGGACATAGACGAGGGAATACTTATAAACGGAGAACGATTGAATAACATAAGATATGTTGATGATACTGTCATTTTTGCAGACAGTCTTGAAGGGCTGCAGACACTTGTCTCCAGGGTGGCAAAAGTAAGTAGCAGGTTTAGGCTTTTTAACATAAAAAAACCAAAGACATGGTTATAAGCAAAAATAGGATACCACCTGGTCAATTACTAGTTAACCAACAACCTATAACACAAATCACCAACTTTTGTTATCTGGATGAAGACTTAAATGAACAGAGGGACCAATCGACGGAAATTAAGATAAGGATCGAGAAGGCAAGATCAGCTTTGGTCAAAATGAAAAAAATCTTTAACAAACACGACATAAAATTGAAAATAAAAGTTCGTTTACTAAAATGCTACGTATTTTCCGTTCTTTTATATGGCGTGGAGTCATGGACCTTAACTGAAGCATCACTGAAGAGACTCGAAGCATTTAAAATGTGGTGCTAGACGCATGTTGAGGATTTCCTTAATAGACAGAGTTACCAACGAAGAAGTACTACATAGAATGGGTAAAGAGCGCGAACTAGTCATAACCATAAAACGTCGCAAACTAGAATACCTGGGCCAAATAATGAGCAATTAACAACGATATGACCCACTTCGGACCATACTTCAAGGTAGAGTGCATGGGAAAAGAGGTCCAGGACGAAGAATATCCTGGCTGCATAACCTATGAAAATGGTTTAACTTAACCACTACAGGACTTTTCAGGGCAGCAGTCAACAAAGTCAGAATAGCCATGTAAAGGTCGATTCAGACACATCAGTCACGTCACAGTCACGGTACCGAACCGGTCCTGTTTGGTCACAGAACTATCAACTATCTGACAGCTGGCAAACTGTTCGTCAACTGATGAGTGTGAATGCCGGCGCCATATTTGTATTAAAGAATATTTTGTATGACGGATTGTTCGATTCGGCGCAATGACTGTGACGAGATGGTGACGAGACGTGACTGATGTGTCTGAATCGACCTTTGGTGTCCAACATCCGTAACGGATAGGCACCATAAGAAGAACTGGTGAAATTGACCCATTCTCAAAAAACAATTATATAAAAAAAATCAGATGGTATGTGAATAAAAAGGAGTCAATAATCTAAAAATATTACCCAATCTGTAAGTAAAGATACAACTAAAGATGTTTTGAAAGTTACCTAAAATGTTTTGCCAATAACTGGGTACTTTGGGTAATAAATCTCATTGAATTTTAACCGTACCATCTAGAAAAGCTTCAATACATTCAGCTATACATTTATTCGCTTCAGAAATTTTGCTTTTAGATCTGTATTGATTTTTTTAATTCAATTTTAATTGGAATAGTTTTGAAAATGTAACAATTACAATTTAATAAATGTCAAAATATCATTTTGAATTATTTCCTTGTTTGAAAAAGTGTTGGACAATTTGTATATAAATCTTATTACCTCTTTCCATCAACGACACACCATGACACGCTAGAAGGACAAGGTTGCTTGTTTTCATCTTTGCCAAATTCAAAACTTAGAGAACTTTGACCCAATATCATTTTGTTCCGTTTATAGGCACCCAACAAAGAGACATCTTCCAATCTATTATAGAATGCTCTTTCTAACGCTTGTTCACAGAATGGCGTGTTTCCGATTAAAGTGAAACTACTCAAATAAATTGGAGCATCCAAAAGAATTCCTAGTAGACTGCCCTGGATGCCAAGATGTACCCATTTTGCCAATTTGTCGCTGCATGATACTGAAAGAGTTGGGTCGCCTCTACCTATAATATTCATCTCACATTAATATACTACAAACTATTCATAAAAGTTATTAGACGTCATTAGACTCTCTTGAATAGATTTTGTCTTAGAATACGAAGGTGCGGTGTCATTCACGTCTCACATCAATTTTCACATGTTATTAAAAAGTCTGAATACATTGTAAAAATGTTTAAATGAACAAAAATACCAATCCCCTAATTTTGTAATATCGTTGTCTTTAGTGAGGCGAAGAAGAAAGGTGACGAAAACGAAATAAAGGGAGACTATGCCATGTTGCACATAAGACTAATGGATAAGAAGAGAAACGAGTGGATAAGAGAGAAAACAAAAGTGAGGGATGTTAGACAAGAAGTTGCAAAATTGAAATGGAAATTTGCCGGACACAATATAAGACAAAAAGAAGACCGATGGAACAAAATTCTTATAAGTTGGAGACCATGGGAATATAAACGAAGCAGAGGAAGGTCCCAAATGAGATGGGCAGATGATATCAAGAAGCACGTGGGCTCTAGATGGATGACTGTAGCGACAGACAGAGAAGAATGGAAAAGGATTGGGGAGGCCTATGTCCAAAGATGGACCGAAGAAGGCTAATTAGATTAGATAGATTATATAGAATGATCTATACTTGGACCTCACGGATATGGCGACAGAAACGAAAGGGGTCAAACTCTTATAGAATTTCTTCTGCAACACAGACATGAGCAGACTCATGAAGGGCATACCAGGAAGAAATAGATAGAAACCTTCAGAATGACGTGCAAGATGAAACCGATATTGAACAACTTAACGAAAGGTTGGTGGACGCTCTAACGAAGGCACAGAACTGTCAAGTTAAGCAAACGAGGAAAAATGAAAAACTTACAGAAGGCACCAGGAACCTAATGCAAAAAAGAAGGGAAATGAAAGATAAGCACACAGTGAACATCGCAGAGCTGAGGAATTTAAATAAAACCATTTCAAAAGCTATTAGGAAAGACATTAGGGATTTTAACACTAAAGCAACATCTAATACCATAGAACAAAATAAAAACCTTAAAATTCCACTAGGAAACTAAGTTCCTGTAGCTGGTTGTATACCATATATCACAAAAAATTGTTTAAAATCCTTTATAAAAGGTATATAAAAAATGCCCCAAACGGGCTATCACAAACACATTGCAGAACGTTTTCGGATTGATCAATCCATCATCAGTGCAAACGGTTGTACATGCTAGTAGCCACCAAAATATATGTTTATTTATAGTTATAAACATCACAAATTATAACTATTAATAATGTAAAACAACTACAAATTTAAAACATTTAAAGGGTTTTGATCCATATATTTTGGTGGCTACTAGCATGTACAACCGTTTGCATTGATGATGGATTTATCAATCCGAAAACGTTCTGCAATGTGTTTGTGATAGCCCGTTTGGGACATTTTTTATATACCTTTTATAAAGGATTTTAAACAATTTTTTTTTAAACCGTAAAGTTCTAAAACGAAAGTTGAAGGCAGGAACCAAGAACATTTATAAGCTAAAAAATAGACAAGGACATGCTGTATATGAACAAAAGAAATTATGAGAATTATTGAAGAATAGTATAGAACATTATATCATCGAGATGCTCACATTTCAGAGGTGGAAATCTCAGCCATACAAAATCAAGGGTCAGAGAAACTTCCCGATATAACCGAAGAGGATAACGAATCAGCATTGAAAGGTATGAAGAACAGCAAATCATCTGGAGAAGATGGCATTGTAAGTGAAATGATAGAATTAGGATGCGAATGCGTCATAAAAGCTTTAAAAACCCTTTATAATGCCTGCCTCTTTGAAGGAGTTACTTACACCAGAAAAATGGAATAGTGCCATTATGATAATATTGCACAAGTAAGGAGATATAACAGAAATTGGAAACTACAGACCTATCAGCTTGTTATCTCATTTATATAAGCTCTTTATGAGAATAATTACTTACAGACTGGAACCTAAGCTGGATTTTCACCAACCATTAGAGCAGGCCGAATTTAGAAGTGGCTTTGGAATGAATAAAATCCTTAATAAAGAAAGTTACAGAATACAACCCGCCATTGATATTAATATTTTTAGCCTTTGAGAAAGCGTTTGACTCAGTCCAGCATAGCTCCATGTTAAGAGCTCTTACAGAGTGCAGTATTGATCATAGGTACACAACTCTTCTTCGCAATAATAATAGCGCAACAGTGTATTATGGCAACACAAATACATTTCCTTTCGGGAGGGGTATTAGGCAAGGAGATACCATCTCTCCTAAGCTATTCACCGCTTTGTTGCAGAGTGCTATGAGAAACAATAATTGGAAGAATATTGGAGTCAACATAAATGGAGAGTTTCTGAACAACTTGAGATTTGCAGACGACATAGTCCTTATTGCAGACCGGGTAGATCATGCCTGCCAGCTTCTTCAAGACCTTCAGAGCTTGTGTACATGAGTTGAACTTAAAATTAATTTTTCCAAAACACAATATATGACCAACCTTGTACTGGCGAAAAATATCTCAACTAACGACACGCAAATTGAACAGGTGTATAGCTATAAATATCTGGGCCACAAGATAAAATTAGGAAGAGATAATCAAACAATGGAGCTCAAGAGGAGAATAGAACTGGCATGGGCAGCATACGGAAAACTGAGAAAAGTCTTTAGTCATTCAGAACGATTTCCGAAGTGGAAATTGAAACGTCAATAAACGTATTTTTATCTTTAATTGTGGCTTATTCCCAGTTTAATAGTAATTAAAAAACAAATATATTTTCTCTATGTATCTTTATTGTGTGGAAAACTTAGACATAGATAGTATCACTCATAAGTATTTAGTCACTGGACATACAGCAAATGAAGTTGATTCTATGCATGCATGCATAGAAATATTGGTCTTAGAAATGCATTCTACTCAGTTTATTAATTGGAAAGATGTTAATGAAAAAATGGGTAAAAATTTTACCTTAGACAGTGATAAAAATAAAGTTAAGTGGAATGAAGTGAAGGTTGTTAAGGTGTGTAAGACAGAAAAAGATACCATTTTTTACAAAACCTCACTTGATCAAAAAGAGGATTTTAAGAAAATATACATCAGGTATGAAATGCGAGGAAGCAAATTAAATCCTAACTTAGAACCATCTTATAAAGAACCAGTAGGAATTACTAAGAAGAAGAAAAATCATTTGATGAAGCTGTGCGATGAAAAGCAAATACCTACTGTTCATGTTGAGTTTTTTAGAAACCTATAGGTATCACCTAAAAATAAGGGGAAAACTGAAGCTGAAGCATCATCCGGGGAAGAAAATTAGCTACATCTATTTTCTCAAAAGTTTGATTTTCATTGTTTTGTTCACTTTTGATTACAAAAAAAAATTTGTTAATTTTCGTTTTATTCTATTTTTTATAATTCAGAACCTCTTTTTAATAAAATTAGTTATCTCTTAAAGATCAGCGTTTTTTTTTCTTACCATAAATTTAATGTAATCGAAATTTTTTCCTGTAAAACCGAACCTTCAAGTAAAGTTATTCATATGATATTTTTAAAATTGTTTCTAAATATGTTGTTGTACAGTGAGATATCTACTTTTATTGCAATATATTTCCAACCGCATTTCTGTGCAACAGTGAGGTAATTTTTTTTTTAATTTTGGTACAATTTTTCACAAAAGTACTGTTAACTAATCTAGTACTCAGTTTACAAGTTATATTCAAAATATAAATGCAGTTCTGTGTATGACAAGAAAGTTATGAATAGTTATTCCTTTAGCAAAATACATTTTGCCATTTTCTCAGTTCATTGACAATTACGATATCTGACTGTTGATTTGAGGTATCAATTTGTTCTTGATGTTTCAACTTTCACCAGAAATCATTTTCAAAAAATTTAATTATGGCTCAACCTCACATAATTATTATAATATTTAACTAAATATCCTCACTAGATATAATTATTAAAACATTTAAAGCAATATACTCTTACCTGGTTTTGTTCTTACAACTCCAGTAATATGGTAATCAATCCCAGGTAATTTGGCATCTACTTCTGAACCTCCAACACATTTAGCTCCTGTCCTAAATATATCTCCAGACTCCAACTTAACTTTTTTGTGAGGCGGTTCATTTCCTTCCCCTTCTGTGTCTTTCTTAATTATATTACCAAAGTCGATAGTTGTTTGCATTGGAAATATCGCAGCATCTCCACAAGGTATCAATGTTGTAAAAAAATGAAATTTTACTTCTGGATTTAAAAAGAATTTATTAGATATTTGTTTAAATTCCATAATATTTGAAATTGCACTCATCTGATCATAAATATATCTAATAAATGATCTTCTACAAATAACTTCTGCATGAGAATCGTTTAGTATATCCCCATTACTGGACATCTTTGATTTCCCTATGCATTTAGATCCTGTGCCAAGAGCTACAACTGTCAATTCATTATTAAACTCTTGTACTATACAAGACAATACAGTCCACTGTGTTCTATTAGGTTTTCCAGATTTGGGCAACATTTTAAAACAGTTTATGCTAATCTTAGCTATTTTGTCGTGAAATTGTTTGTCATACATTTTTATTTTTATAAAAAGTTAGAATAAATATAAAGTATAAAACTATGTTAGTATAATCCATAAAAATATATATTGAATTAAGCTATGGTATCCGGATCCCAAGCATATTTTGTTTGAGGCAAGCCATTTAATATATTCATATCATCTTCAGGAATGACAAAGTTTATATCAATATTATCATCAATATGTTTCTTGGAACGAGCTTTCGGAATAATGGCAATATTTTGTTGAAGAGGCCAACGTAGAAGAACCTGAGAAGAAATAATTAATAGTTTATAATAAAGAATCAACATTCATCTAATTTGCTGATATTAATACCAGCAGTTATTAAAATGATATAACAATGTTTATTATCCTTTACACAACCTTTGATATAACCTTACCATAAAAATTTGCAAAATTTTGGTCCCCAACGTGATTACATATCAATAGAATCAGACAGGTTCTTTCGTAACACCTTAGTTTTTCTCTTGATTCCTTGTTCTTCTGGCAAAACCCGTTTTTTAGGTTTATTATGATTATTTGTAAGTCCTTCATAGAAAGATGCAAAAGAAACTTTACCAGAGCTTTTCCTTTGTTTGTGATTGCAGCTGTTGGCATTTGTAACTCTTCTTCTCTTTAGTTTAATTCGGTTAAGTTGGTCTCCTTGGGAGCCCTTGTTACATTCTTCATCTGAATCAAGATCCTTGTGATCAACTTTTTCAACTCTTTTTTGAAGACTAACTGGATGTGGATTGATTTTATCATCAATCCCTCTAGTTAAAGAGTATATACCACTTTTATGTTTAATTGGTGCTTTTAAACAATTTTCCTTCCTATAACTTTCACCAGTTTTCCACATTTGTTTCTGCTTTTCCTGTAGCCAACTTTGTTGGGGGCCTATAATTGATCCTGGGCGACATATTCGGATCCAAGCAATAGCCTCTTCTGCAGTAAATTTATAATGTTTCATGATATAACATCCAATCAAGGATCCAGTTCTACCTAATCCTGCTTTACAATGAACTGCTATCACTCCTTTAGCATTTTCAGAAATACTAATAAATTGTTGTAAGACAGATTCACTGGGGGTGCCACCATCTACAAAATATAAATCTTTATGATCAAAGCCAGCTTTTCTAAAGATATTTGAGTCATATGCCTTTTTGTTTAATCTAATAATAGTTGAGACATTGTGGTTCCTAAAATAAGGAAAATAGCTTTCTGGCTTGTGATCTCCCCAGCTGTGCGGTACCTCTTGAGGACCACAAAAAGCAATAAACTTGTCAGGAACTATCCAATTGAAATCACCATTTTCAACTTGTTCGTAATATTCATACTTTAAGTAATCAAAATCATTAAAATTAAAAAATCCATAGTCCAATGCTTTCTTGATACCCTTCAGACAGTCAAGTAAGGTGATAGTATATGGTTCTCCAAAAGATGCATCCCTGAATTTAAGGTATCCTTTTGAGGAATTTTTCATGAGAGTTTCATATGCCTGTTCAGGTGTAAAACAAAGGTATATTATAGAATAAGCACCAATCAAAAATGCTGAATTCACTCTTTTCTCCCTAGCTTCTTTTGTACAATCATTAACATAGTGAATAATCTTCTTGGTTTTAAGTCCAGAGTTGCTTAATTTCTTCTTCAGCTTCATACAATAGCGGTATATCATAGCAAGATTCATGGGCCCAAAGTCTTCATAGAAACTATCATACTTTATATCTTCATTCAGTGTGAAATAATGGAGTGTAGGTGTACATTTTACATCCACTGTACATTTCACACAGATAAAATACAGTCTGTCTTTGATAAATTCTGAAGCATTCAACAATACACTGTCTGTGCTATTCATTATTTTTTGATACTATTGATATTGCAATTGGAGAGTACTTAATCATTGAAAACACATTTTTTTGATTACACACTATTTTGACTTAGTATTTCCATTATTTCACTGATAAATGTTTTATAAGATAAAACAATAATACACCAGCTGTTTCAAAACAGCAAGAATCATGTCAATTTACTTGGTAAAGAGATATCCAAATTAATGGTCTATTTATAATCATATCCAAAACAAAAATGGAATTATATATAGTAGAGCTAGAGACTACACAGACTTCAGATGTCTTAAGGATAAATGTCATGTGTCATTTGTAGTGACTTCACAAAATTATCTTTACAGCCAACTAACTTGCTATTGAACTTTTTTCGTTAACGCTTTACCATAGAATACATAACAATTGTTTATTATTAAATCGCTTTACCACAGAATAAATAACAATCAGAATGTCCACTATCAGATGCCGCCTTTGAAGTTTGTCAGCACGCGATATTTTGCGAATTTTAAGGATAAATTGCATCAAAATAGAACATGTTCTAATTTTTCGGCGGTGATATGTAACGCAGAGAAGGACTACAGATTTTTCGGTAAGCAGTCAAGGTGTTAAAAATTTTAATAAAAATATATACCATTATTATAGAAGTTTTTACTTCATTGTAATATTTTTACACTATGGTATACAGCCAACTACTGGGATATTACTTTTTATTTTTTTTTTAATATCTTACCTGTGCAGGACTTTTTCCTAATTTTGTTGCTATTTTGTTAATTTCTTTATCGTTTAACAAATCTGGATTGTTACTACCTCCTAGTGAAGAGTAAGCCTGTAATAGAATGCCTTCTTTTCTTAGCAAATCTAACAGTTCAGGTTGATGATAATATGGATGCCATTCCACCTAAAACATAAAATAATAAGCACAAAAATTAAATGAACTCTTAAAAATTAAAAAAAAATATAATAAGTAATTATTACAACAACCAAAAAAACAACGAAAGTTTAGAAAATCATACCAGACAAATAGAACGATTCCTGCTAAAGAGTTTGACATTTTTTTAGTAGTTTATAATAAAATTGTAGAATTCATCACATCAGTCATTACATTCATTCGTATCCGAACTAGCAGAATCATTTTTTTATTGTATTCGTAGTGGAACCGAAAGTAGAAGAGTCAATTTTAAAACTTAAAAAGATTTTAACTCGATGGTATTAATTCATGATACTATAACAAAAAAAAAGATAAGTCAACGCGCATGTGTTGATGCATCTCTCTCGCGCACCTGTTACGTAACCCCGAGACAACTTTAATGACGGCAAGTTAAATGCTCATAAGTGTTCATGTTAATTATGTTGCTGTTAATCGAGTTTGCTATTCTGTGTATTTCAAAACGTAGTGAATGATATTTTTATTTATTCATTGATGTAGTAAACACTTTGTATATTATATTGTTATATAAATTTTGTAGTGAAAACATTCAGTTTACTGTGTTAATATCAACTAATTTGTTATCATACGCAACTTCCTCTCGACTACATGTAGCTACTTTATAAAGAAGACTAATTATTTGTTTGCCATAATAAATTGTGCAGTGGTGGGTTGTTTAAACAATAATAATAAAAAAAGTAAAACTTTTTCGACTTGTCGTTTTTTATGTTTCCTAGAGACAAACAAATGCGTAAAGTATGGGTCTCCAAGTGTTTTCAGCGGGACAAATTTAATGTAGAAACCGCAAGAATATGCTCAAAACATTTTACATAAGCTGATTATTGTTTAAAAGAAAAACTATTGAGATTGCCTGACAAACAGTGGAAGTTAAGAAATGATGCCATGGCTTTGTCTCGCTATGACGTTATGCGCAAAGTCGATCAAAATTAGAACGGCAAGTGAGCATATCTTGTTTTTTATAGAATGTATCATAATATTAATCCATAAGATTGGAAATAAAAATGTAAATAATTACTTACCAAAACCTTTATAGTACCAATATTTATTATTGAAAATAGAATAGTAAATTAATCAATATAAGGTTGAATGTTCGAATAATTGAACTTTGATGGTATATGTGTTGTTAGCTTAGATTAAGATATAGGCGCCGGAGTTAGGCAACACAGATGACAGGGATGTCATGGGAACGTAGCCGAAGCTCGGGCAAGCATGTATGTTTGAGGGTTGAGAATAAACTGATGTTGTGAAGTAACGATTATTATTTGTAACCCCTCTTTGATAACACGACATGGTGGCAGCTGGTGCTTTGTTTTGTTAACATTAAACAAGCAAAGAGTGGTCGAACGTGACAACAGTGCAAATCTTATGCATAACCTATAAATCAGAGGGGACCTAAAATCCTTAAAATGGATGCACCTATCCAAATAAATAAAGAAGTGTTTGCGAACATTTCGGCTCCAAGCGAATTTGATTTTACACAGCCCCAGACATGGCCCCAATGGAAGAAAAGAGTAGAGAGATATATGTCTGTAAGTGGATTTGGACAAAAATCTGACAAGGATAAATTAGACCTACTGTTGTATTTAATGGGAAATGAAGCAGAAGATATTTTACTTCAAAATCAACCAGTGGAGAATGCATCCTTTCAAGATGTAATGCAGATTTTCGACAATCATTTTATTCCCCGAAGAAATACAATCTTTGAGAGATTTCAATTTAATTCAAGGGTACAAAGGCCAGGAGAACCTGTGGGAAACTTTATTTCAAGTCTACATACTCTTGCAGAGCACTGTAGCTATGGAGCTCTTAAAGATGAGTTAATTCGTGACAGGATAGTTATCGGAATAGCTGATAAAAAGGTGAGCGAAAGAATGCAACTAAATGATGGTTTGACACTAGAGAAGGCAATACAAATAGCACGCCAAGCTGAACTTCAAGATAGTCAAAATAGAATTATGAGACAGGAGCAGTCAGTTAGTGCAGTTAAACAGGACTACAGGGAGCGTAGTGATAAAAGACATCAAGGTAAGAGTTTTGCTAAACAAGAAACAACTCATGAGAAAGTTAAGGAAGGTTACAGATGTGGATACTGTGGCATACCTACATGTAAAAATAGGGAGAAATGTCCAGCCAAGTTCTCTGAATGCAGATCTTGTTCACGTAGAGGTCATTGGAGTGTGATGTGCAGGAAGAAAGCTGTCAGAGCTGTTAAGTGTTCAAGGTCCACCAGTAGCAGTAGTACAGATGACGAAGGAAGGGATTCAGTAAATCAAGTGGTACATACAGATTCCTTTATTGGCCAAGTGTACCTAGACAAGAAGGATCGTTGGTATGTAGACATCTTATTGGATGACAAATTTAAGGTACCTTTTTTTGTGGATACAGGAGCAGATGTTAACTGCTTTCCCTATGAAAAATTACCTCCAGAATATGTGGGTAAAATTGTGGCATGTGATGCAATTGGTGCAGCGGACGATCATAAATTGGACACAGTGGGTAAGCTACATATAAAATTTACTTATGACGGTTTTACAAATGATGAAACAATATATTGTATTAGGAAGTTGAGACAACCTATATTAAGCAGAGAATCAATCATTAAGTTTAATGTTCTAAATTTTTCTAATTGTAAGCTTAAACAGGTAAATCAAATCAGTTGCAGTGTTGTTCATTGTAATCAATCTGAGAGTACTAATATGTTTTCAAAATTTAATTTAGAGTCTGTTGCTAAAACATTTCCTGGTATTTTTAGTGATATAGGTGAATTTAAAATGGAAATGTCAATTAGAATTAAGCCAGATGCTAAACCTTATGTACAGAGCGTTCCCAGAACTGTTCCTTTACCTCTGTTACCAAAATTAAGAATTGAAATTGATAGATTGCTAAAATTAGGGATAATTGAACCCATTGAAGATCCTACTTCTTGGGTCAGCCCAATTGTTTGTGTGGACAAGGGAGATTGTGTACGGCTTTGTGGTGACTATACTAAACTTAATGAAAACGTGTTACGGTCACATTTTCCTCTCGGGAAAATATCTCATACACTAGCACAGTTGAAAGGGTCTAAATTCTTCTCAAAATTGGATACCACAAGTGGGTTTTACCAAATAAAATTGAATAAGGAAAGTCAGTTGTTAACAACTTTTATAACACCTTTTGGCAGATTTTTCTTTAAAAGGCTTCCATTTGGTATATCTTGTGCCCCAGAGTATTTTACTATGAGATTTTCAAAAATCTTAACTGGCATTGAAGGCTGTGTTGTCCATATAGATGACATTCTTATTCATGCAAGGACAATAGAGGAACATGACAATATTTTGAACACAGTCCTAACAAAACTTCATAAGGAAGGTATTACACTAAATAAAAACAAATGCTCTATAGCAACAAAAACAGCTAAATACTTGGGTCATATGGTCTCTGAGCAAGGGATATTAATTGATCCAGATAGGGTTAAAGCTATCCGTGATTTTCCTGAACCAAAAAATAAGACTGAGCTGTCAAGATGGCTGGGTATGATTAATTTTGCTGCAAAATACATTCATAATAAATCTGAGATTCTTGAACCATTAACACACTTACTAAAAAAAAATATTAACTTTTTGTGGGGTCCAGCACAAGATAAAGCTTTCAGCACTTTAAAACAAAAGTTAGAGAGCCCTCCAAATCTAGCGTTTTTTGATGCTAATAAAACCATAATTGTTAGTGCAGACTCAAGTTGTTTTGGTATAGGTGCATGTCTATTTCAAGAAAATGTAGATCATACTCGGGAAATAGTGGCTTTTACATCTAGGCTTCTGAACTCAGCTGAAACACGATACGCTCAGATTGAGAAAGAAGCTCTTGCACTTACATGGGCAGCAGAATATTTTTATGATTTTATTTCAGGAGTTCCTAACCTAATTTTTGAAACAGACCATAAACCTTTACTACAAATTCTGCAAACTAAAAATTTAGATGAGTTAACGCCACGTTTGCAAAGATTTCGAATGCGTTTAATGCGATACAAGTATACTGTAATCTACACGCCGGGAAAAAATTTAATTGTAGCAGATACTTTAAGTCGGGCCCCTTTACAAACAGATACGTTAGCTAATAAAGAACTAACTGCTGAAACTGCAGCATATGTGCAGTCAATTATTCATAATTTACCAATTAAAGATTATTTTTTGAATTTAATAAAAACAGAACAAGAAAATGAATATATTTGTAAAAAACTAAAAGAATATTCTTTGTCTTCTTGGCCTGAAAGATCTAAATTGCCATTTGAATTGTTGCCATACTATCAATATAGATA